TGATTTATTCTCCCATAACAAATGGCAATAAGTTCCACTGATTAATATTATTGGCAGTAAATAATGTGCAGTTGATAAACGCCATGACCGCATACTTATGGGCCATTGGACAGTATATGATGAATGTCGTGACCACATCCAAATGGGTCATTGGACGATATATTTGAAAAATCTGTGATGGATTTAAAAGTTCTCAAAATGAGAAAAAAAAAAAAGTAAAAATCGCAACATTAAAAGTATTAAGGTCTTTATATGACCTGAAACAATTGGTGATTGACTGAGTATTTTTCTTTTTGAAGAAAGAATATGCATATATTATGTGTCATTATGTACTCTTTAAAGAGTTGTGAATGGAGTTATTATCCTCACGATGAAGGAATAATATGTACCATTATGTGCTAATAAAGAGTTACTAATGAAGATATTTGTTTATCATATTGTTGGGCATCGACCAGGTTGGCCGAGTTCAACCCCTGCTCGATTCGAGACGTGGCATTGTAGATTACCATGGAGGGATGTAGTTAAATGGTTATTGTCTACCTACTTATCGTCAATTGGTTTTAAGTATGATATGACAACCAGATAACCAAAGAACTACGTGATTAAGCGTGCTTGACTTACAGTAGTCACATGATGGGTGACCCACTAGGAAATAAGCATAGTGCAACACTGAGATCCATAAATTGGTATCAAAACCTAGGTCACGGGTTCAAATTGATGGCGAGGTGAAAGCCGAGTCCAATCTCAGATGGGATATGGGCGTATGTTGGGCCAAGTCCAATCCTGAGAGGGGGATGATGGGCTTAGAGGCTAAGGACCGAGTCAATCATGTTGCGCAACTGGGCTTGGTGTTCAAAGGTTGCAATAGGTGCTGTGAGGGGGATTGTTGGGCATCGGTTGGGTTGACCGAGTTCAGCCCTTGCTTGATTCGAGACGTGACGTTGTGGCTTACCATGGAGGGATGTGGTTAAATGATTAATGTCCACCTACTTATCACCAATTGGTTTTAAGTAGGATATGTCAACCAGATAGCCAAAGAACTCTGTGGTTAAGCATGTTTGATTTACAACAGTCACATGATGGGTGACCCACTAGGTAAGCATAGTGCAGCGCTACTTACAACAGTCACATGATGGGTGACCCACTAGGTAAGCATAGTGCAGCGCTAAGATCCATCACATATCAGTTAGTATCTCGACGCCCAATATATAATGGGCTACTTGGGAACTGGCTATTGTTATTGTATCCCCATGATGCCAAGTCCAAAACTGGTTGTAGTATATTTTAACCCCCATTGTCCTATAAGGGGACAATGAAGATTGCGTTGCACCAGTGATAAATGGGTATATTATGAAAATTTTCACTAGACATTATGATGTCAATATTATACCCACGTGAAATCCAGAAGAGTCATGAGATTAGTATACGGTATATTCACCTCATTGACAGTTGGACATATATGTTCACAAAATCCCTCTCTACATTTCAGAAATTTAATGTATGGGATTTGAAGAATGTTATCGTGACAACCCAAAATATATTTCCCAATTTCATATTTTATAAGGTTTCAAAATAAAAGTATTTTATTCCCACGATGATTTATTTCCTAGAACTTTGACCCAAAAGTCTATCTGAGACGGACCCGTATTTATTCATATCAGTTTTCCTAGCCTAAATAATTTTGTTTGAGCCCAAGTGTAATTTATTCTTGTCCAAAATATTAAGCCCAACAAATATTTCTTGAATCTAAAGTGTCTAGCCCAATATTTTGACCCAACTATAATTCATAGTCTAACCCAATTTTTACATGTGACCCAATCTTTTACATTTAGCTAAGTCCAAACTAGTAATATTAACCTACTATCTATAGTGTATATATGGGCAAATTATTGCCTGGACCATGGTCCACCCAACTTGGCTGGACCATGGTCCAAAACAACGCCGTTTAGCATGTATAAAAAAAAATCGCTGCTATAGTGATAACACCGTTAGTCGGTCATTACTCATTTGATAGGCTTCCTTCGCTACTGATTCTTTCATTTTCTCTGGATAATAAATGTCTACGATTCCTGATCTTCTTGCTTTCGTCTTCGATTTCTGTGTCGCCATTTGCTTCTTCTCTATGAGTCATTGAATTGCTTCTTCTCTGTGCGCCGTCCTCCATCATGGATAACATCAGTGATTCAAACAACAGAGTTGATGCGGTCGAATTATATGATGATATTACAGGTTTGTATATTTTTATATATGATTTAGGTTTCCTTTTTAATTTGACTTTTGATTTATATTGCGTATTTTTTATATTGTAAGTGATGTCAATGCTTTGATCTGATCGATGTTGAATTGATATTTTCCACATTGATTTGAATCAACTCTAGGTTTGTCTGTCGCAATGCTTTAATCTATTGTATCTAGGATTTCTTTAGTTGGTTGGATAAGGTACATTATTTTTGCACATAAGGTACATTATTTTTGCATCTAATGTACATTATTTTTGTGCATAATATACTACGTTGTTGAGCATGCTTAATGTATTTATTAGGTATATTATTTATATGCTTAATGTAAATTATTTTCAGTTGATGGCACTTCTGGAGTTCTGGGGATGCAGCTGAGGAGAGTTCACCAATTGGAGTTCATGCTAGTTCTTCTAATGTTATGGATGTAAGTTTTTCTATCCCTGATTTTTTTTTTTTAAAGTTGTTGATTATTATTTAATTATTAGTAGTTGTGTCTTTAATTATATTGATGAAATGATTTTTATTTTTTTTTATTGTTTTTTGTGTTACAATAAAGTATTTGCATGTTTTGCTGCGAATGTTGTGTTTTTGATTGAGGTACATATTTTTATGCATTTGTGTGTATTTTATTGCATGATTTATGTGTACTTTCTGATTTGAAAGCTGTGTTTCTGATTGAGGTACATTATTTCAATTCGTTAGATATATTATTTTAATACATAGGGTACATTATTTTAATGTATCATTTATGTGTGCATTCTGATTTGAAAGTTGTGTTTATGATTAAGGTACATTATATTTAGTTGTTAGGTACATTATTTTAATAGATAGGGTACATTATTTCAAGTTATTAGGTACATTATTTTAATAGATAGGGTACATTATTTTTATGCATGATTTATTTGTACTTTCTGTTATGCATGCATTTTATTCTTTTAGTGAATATCTTATTTCTTTTAGAACATGATTGAATTTATTCAGCACACCCATCCCCCTCTACTTAGAAATTTGGTATTCACTACAAATAATATCAATGTGTTATGCTAGTAACTTGTTAGTTGTATTATTTTTTGAAATTTACAGTTAATCAGGATTTGTTGGTGTTTACCGTTACTTCAATTGAAGAAGCATATAACTTATACAATTACTATGCTTTTATATTTGGATTTTGTGTTAAGAAGGACAAGCAGTATTATGTTCCCGGTAGTCGGATGGCATTCGATTTTTGAAACACCAGTTTGGAGGTTCATCTTTTGTTGCATTTACACCAAGGGATGCATGTAATAGCCAGCTTACAGATTTGATAAAGAGCTTAGATGACACCGATTCGAATTCATAATTGAGATCTTTGATTTTTTCTTTGATTTTGAAGTGGATGGTGATACAAGAGTGTGTAGTTTTTTTTTTTGGAGGGATGCAAGAATGAAGGAGGATTCTGTGGTGTTTGGTGTTTTGGTAGTACATGACACAATGTGTACTGAAATTTTGTTTACTTATATATGCACTTGACAGATTATGAACAAGTTTTTTATTTTGTGAGTTATTAAAAGAAGTATTTGCACTTGACAGATTATGAACATTTTTTTTATGCATTAATAAAATGTCCTATTTTATAAGGTTTCAAAATAAAAGTATTTTATTCCCATGATGATTTATTTCCTAAAACTTTGACCCAAAAGTCTATCTGAACCCGTATTTATTCATATCAGTTTTCCTAGCCTAAATAATTTTGTTTGAGACCAAATGTAATTTATTCTTGTCTAAAGTGTCTAGCCCAATATTTTGACCCAACTATAATTCATGGTCTAGCCCAAATTTTACATGCGACCCAATCTTTTAAGTTTAGCTAAGCCCAAATTAGTAATATTAACCTACTATCTATAGTGTATATGTGCAATCGTTATGCCTTGGACCCGTGTCCAGCATGCTTGCTGGACATGGGTAACAGTGCCGTTAGGCACTGTTATCTCCTTTTTTTTTTTTTTTTTTTTTTTTTTTTTTTTTAAATTTCAGATCACTTTGTTATAGAAGTATATGTTCATAATTTTATTACTATATGTTAATAACTATACATTCATAACTCCATAACTGTACGTTCATAACTCTATAACTGTACATTCATAACTCTATAACTGTACATTCATAACGTCATAACTGTACATTCATAACTCCATAATTGTACATTCATAATTTTCGAAGCTCTATGTTCACAATTTTAGAGCTCTATGTTCATAATTTTATCACTATATGTTCATAATTGTAAGTTCATAATGTTAGAGCTCTTTGTTCATAATTCGATCAATAACTGTACATTCATAATTCCATAACTGTAGATTCATAATCTCATAACTGTAGATTCATAACTCCATAACTGTAGATTCATAACTCCATAACTGTAGATTCATAATCTTCGAAGCTCTATATTCACAATTTTAAAGCTCCATGGTCATAATTTTATCACTATATATGTTCATAATTGTAAGTTCATAATGTTAGAGCTCTGTGTTCATAATTTCATAATTGCATAACTGTACATTCATAACGGCATAACTGTACATTCATAACCAAAAAAAAAATAACGCCGTTAACGGCAAAAACGCGCGAAATTTTTTTTTTAAACTAAATGACGCGTTTTTTTTTTAAAAACGACGTCGTTTTGGGCCCGTGTCCACAATGAATTGTGGACACGGGTCCAGGGCATAATTTGCCGTATATGTGTGTAGTATATCATTTTATTCCCTTAATTCCAGCTAGTAGCTCTCTTGCCTCTCTTTACGGTTTAAGCACTCAGACAACAACAATAATAGAACCGACAGACCCCTTTCACCAGCCACCATCGCCATCTTTCTTGTTCCGTCTCTCTCTCTCTCTCTCTCTCTTCGGTCTCCTCTCTCAGCCCTTTTTTCTCTCCCTCAAACCAGAAGAAAGAACAGCAGTCATGAACCTTGGTCCTCCCTCTCCATCACATCGGTAGCAGGAACATTGGAGTTCGACATCAGGCGGAAGGGAGCTCTGACAAAACAGCGGCAGGCGGTGGTGAGCGGCGGGACCTCAGTTCCTCTTAGCGTTGGCTCCCCTGTCTCGGCAAAGAAGTGTAGGCCGGCGAACCCTTCCGGCGTGAATAGTGGCAGTCCCGGCAGCCTGGTGTTCCCGGCGAGAAGGACAGATCCGGCGAGCGCAGCAAATTGGCGAAGGCACCGGATTCCTCCAGCGTCTTCTGTCCTTCCTTCGCGAACAGAGTAGATCCGGCGTCCTCCTGGTAGCGGCGAACTTCGACGGAGCGGTGGAGGGTTCCTCCAGTAGAGGTTGGTGGATGGCGAACTCCTTCCCTTCTCGGCGTGAGCTTGGATGGTGAACGGAGCAGTTCCGGCGGCTGAGCAGTGGCCGTGGCGTGTGGGTCTTCTCCGGCAGTGGAGCTCTTCCGGCGTTGCAGTTTGGACGGCGGCAATGAAGCCTGGGTAAGCTGCCGACAATGTTTTGTATTTATTTTATGAGAGTGGGTAATTAAAGCTTAAGTATTATTAAAACTGATTAGAGATTAAGTGGGTTGAGTGGTGTAATAGTTAGAGTATTGATGTGGTATGAGGATAGTTAGGGTTTGAATCTTCTTTCTAACATTTTAGTTCCAATATTTATATTGTGATTTTTGGAAGGATAAATGAAGTATAAATGGGTTATTAAATGATGAGTTTATAATATGGTGGTGATTAAGGTATAAATCATGGATTCCTAAATCTATTATTTTAACCCTTTGAGTGGGAGATTTCTTGAGATTTGATGTTTAGAGATGTTTGGGAATGCATGAAATGTGCTTATTATGTGTTGTTGTTTTTGAGGAGAGGCCGAGCCCTTTGAGGCTCAGCCATGTGTTGTTGGTTTTGTGGAGAAGGTCGGGCCCTTTGAGGCTCAGTCATGTGTTGTTTTGGACTGAGACTCGTGGGCCCTTGAGGCTCGGACAATCGGGCTCGTTACGACACGCCAGTATGAGTTGTATTCGTATGGTTTTTTAGTAGAAGCATGTTAGCAGACAAAGTATGAATTTGGTCCTTGAGTATTTGTTTAACTTTTGAGTTCAAAGTTATGAAATATCTGATTGGCATTTGCTTACAAGAATTATTTGATTAAATGTTCTAATTGCATTGCTTAGCTCATGAAGAGTAGAATTGTTGATATTTCTTGCATAAGTCACTGTTTTACAAACTTGCATTCGAAAAGGACATTTTGCTACTTTTAAAGATTAAGTACAGTAAAGGATCAAAGTGAAGCCTTAAGCTATTTTCAAAACCTATATCTATTTTAGAAAATCTATATCTTTTGCATTGAGAAGTTTGCATGATAAGTTGATTTCAAAATGTGAGAAAGAGATATTGTTTGAGATTTATGTGCATTGTAAAACTTGCATATTATTGAGTGAAATTGAATGAGAAGAGAAATTGCATGAGATAATATGCTATCTATATTGTGAGGAAATCTTTATTTTGGAGGTTCCGTTAGGACTAGTTCCTTTCAGAAGAAAAGAGAAAGAAAGATGTTTGAGAAAGGAAAGAAAGGGTCACAGTGGACCGACAAATATTTATGAAGTAACTTGGTCGATATTCCCTTGCTAGGTTGGATACTACCCACTGGGCTTGGAATCCCAGTTAGGGGGTGTGCACACTGAAGGTACGATACCTGATTCCACAGAGATATGAGTATGTGGGCGAGATGAGTATTAGGCTGGCCCATGTTTGCTAGCCCGGATAGGTCCATTCACGATTCGTGAAGTTCCTACCTCCCCACGAGTTAGAGGTTCCGTTGATACGGATGTGGCGGTTGCAAGAGATGCACCGTTCGCTAGGGCTTCGGTGCGGCGGAGTACCTGTCTCGAAAGAAAGAAGAGAAAAGAGAATCATCAGAAAGAAAGCAAGAATGAAAGAAAGCAAGAAAGAAAGAAGAGACAACTGAGTCAAGAGACTCAACAAAGATCCTCCACAGAAAAATGTTCCTTTTTATATAAAGAGCGAGAGTATATCTATCTATTTATAGCATCATATCTTTACTTGTATCATGTCATTGCATATGTTTCATTTAGAGCATTTGAGAAGTACAGTTTTGTCTTTATTTAAGTGTTAGCATGAAAGCCTGATTATACTTGTTAAACTTCAGTTATTGCCTTATCTATCAGCATGTCTGTGAGTAGTGTATAAAAGACTATAATTGGTTTATATCTGTTTATAGCATGTGAATGTATTCAAGTATGAGTTATGAATTAAAGCATGTTTATATGAGTTATAGGTTGCGAGCATATAGAAGTGTTTATGTATATCTATTGGGATCTATGACTAAGTGTCGTAACTGTTTATATTCATACTTGAGATTGTGTGTGAATGCAAAATGTTTTCCAACTTATACCTATAGTACTTTACAGGGTTGAGTGGTTTTATACTTAGCATTAATTTGCTAACGGGTTTATTTTCCTACTTGTTTTATAACCCCTTTCAGGTGGGCCCAGTTCTCGAGAACGCACGTGATAGTTAGTGTGTAGATTTGAGGTGGTAGTTACTAGTTTAGTTTTCTACCCTTAGTTGTACTGACATATGTTGATTAAACTGCTCTTTTTGTTGGTGTGTAGACACCGGGGTTTGTTCCCCACGTTTATGATATTTTGTAGAGCTTTTGACTCTAGTTTAGTTAGCTGATTTTATAGCCTGTGTAGTTACTGTGTGTGGTGACTGTGGCGGTGACACCCTTTAGTTGATCGTTTGAATGGCTAATTAGTTATCTAAGCTTTGTTTATTTATCGTAATTATGCTTGTTTAATCGGGCTTTAGTTTTAGAAAAAGGGGGTGTTACACATATGTTCAAGGGGAGTATCATTTTACTTGAATCATGAATATTATGCCCTAAAGTTTATGTTGGGTTATGGCTGTACTTTTTTTTTTTCCCCCTTAGTTAAGTTTTTTTTTTTTTTTTTCCCACTGGGTTTTCTTAGTGTTTAGATTTTTAATGAGGCAACCAGTGCTACACATAATTTGACATATATCATGTACTCTTTTTTTCTCGACTAGGTTTTTCCCACATGGTTTTTCTAGCGAGGTTTTTAGCGAGGGCATGAGTATGATAAGATAATGCCCAAGGGGGAGTGTTATGAATATTTTATTAATATGTGGTCATTATTTTAGTGGTTAGTTATTATCCTTATTTTTATGAATATATATTTTGTAAGAACTCTTCTATTAGGTGATGAGTGAAAGAGAATTTCCGTGCATATTTCCTTTGTATTCTTTGTTTTAGTTTTTCCTTTTTATCTGTCTTATCACGTATGCCTAAAGAGACTTTCACCGAAGATCAATTTCTTAGATCTAAATAGTCTAGCTATATTGACCAATAATATATGAGAAGTGTGACACCCCGTAAATCCAAAACCTAATCAAGGATTAATTAGAGAATTAATCCTAGTCTCTTTGTTAATTTATTCCTAGAAATCCTGAAATTCAATAGTCGAGGGACTAGAATTTGACTAGTCACTTAAAGTCAAAGGGTTGTACCTTGTGCTTCTTGGGTTGTGCCCATGTTCCCTTATTCTTCCAACTTTAGTAAGGGTAGAGATGTCTTTCTACCTAAAGTTTGTGGTTCAAGCTAACCTAGCAATATCCCTTCATTCTTTCACCCTACAATCTAAACACAAAATCTCTAACTTCTCTCTAAAAAGGTGTAGCTTCTTCTCCAAGCTAGAATTTGGACATCCCAAATCTTGTAAGATGTCTCCCAAGGTTCCTAATTTCTTCATCTTGAGCATAGGGGAGGGTAAGATCCTTGATCTTTTTGGTGTTTTTTACCTCCTTTTAGATGTCTTTTTCTAAAAATAGAATCCTTGTTGTCTTTTGGTTTGTGTATGAAGTTGGTGTGGAAGAAGAGCTTTAGGAAAGGCTTTCTAAGGGTGAGAAAGAGAAGTGTTGGGCTACAAAGGTAAACCATGCTTTACAAAACCTATTTTCTTACTTATATGATGATTTCTAGGCTTCTACTTGTGATTCTTGTGTTGATTTGTGAGATTTGATGCAATGTCTTGTGGTGATGCATGTTTAGAGCTTGTTCTTAGGGTTCTTGAATGCCATTGCTTGGCTATTTCTTGGGTTCAAGTCATATTGTTGTTGTGTGTGAGATTTTGGGTGTTTTGGACTGGAATTTGGACTTGTTGTTGAAAATCCCCGAAGGGATTATTTTGGAGTACAGGTGTACCCGCGGGCGGAACGGCGGGCAGAGGCCTACCCGCCGCCCCACCTGCGGGGTACGTGGTGGCCTTGTGGGTGTGTACCCACGAGCGGAACCACGGGTGGAGGCCCACCCATGGCCCCACCCGCGGGGTACCATATTGGTGATGGTTGGGGATTTGTTTCCCGTGATTCTTTCTCGGTATTGATGTTTTGACCTGCCGTTGTTGTTTTAATGGGCTATTTGTGAGTCTTCATGATGTTTCGTATGTCTAGAACGGTGTGTTAGGAATCCATGATAGGATTTGGTGTCATGAATTGTGCTAAGGGTCCGACTTTGTTATTCGTTGGGCTAATGTGAGTCTTGTATGTTCTTTGGAACTACTTTTGGTTTACCCGTTTGATAAGCATGCTAGTTTGATGTTGAAATGCTAGTGTGTGCGGTTTGTTCTTTCTTATTGGGATTGGCAACTTGTGTTGACCATCGTTTGGTATCGGATTGTGATCCTTCGTTGTTGAGTATGGTTTCATATCTTTGTTGTGATCCATTGATTGATTCCTATGATATGAACGTATGTAATCGTTGTACCCTTTGATTGATACTTGATTAAGGTTATTGTTGAACCTTAGTCCTCTTAGTAATGATGATGATCTTGTGTGACTATGATTGAAATTGGTGGTGTGTTACTTGAGCAATGGCTCACATGTTGGAGGTTGTGTGAATGAAATTAATGGTACCCTCGTGTATTGAGAGTTCGGCAATGAATAGGTGATGTTAGAGGGGGGACGACGGTCCTCAGAGGCATAAGGTTGGACTCAGAAGTACAGGGTGGCACTAGGATGTAATGGGTGGAACCGAAATAAGGTCGGGGGTAGCCATGAGGTTGCAACAGGGCATAAGGTTAGAACTATGATACTTGTGACATGTAGTTGTCACTGTGGCATGTAGCCAACGTGTGGATGTGTATTCTTTGCTAATGAGCATCTCTTGATGTATTCTACTTTGTGATCAGTAGAATGCATCATGAGTTGTATTGTCTTTCATGTTTGTTGTCTTGTTGTTGTTGTAAGGATGGTGATTCCTTTTCCTATTGAGAGTGTGAATGAGTCCTTGAAGTTGACTTCTCTCTATGGCTTTTGAAATGATATATACTGTATTCTGTTTCGAAAATAGTTTTGACTCATACTTATCTATATATGCTATTTAACGCGTATTGATGGGTTACCAGCAATGTTCGCTGACCGGGTGTCATCCCCATGTTATGTTTTCCTTGTTCTACAGGTTTTGAGTAGATGCCCGAGAGCGCTAGACTTGAAGCGTTAGATAGCTTAGTCACCTTGTCTAGACGTTGTGTTTTGATGGCCTGTGAGCCTTTTGAGCGGCCTATGTGCCTTGAGTCTTTTTGACTTGTCTTTACTGTTTAGTTTTCTCGCCTATGCATCTTAATACTGTAAGATGTGGCATAATACTCCCGATTAGATTTGTTTCCGCTTTATGTTTAATGGATGTTTAGATTGCTTATCTCTGACACCCCGTATTTTCCTAAAAATAAATTATAGTCCCGATATTAAATATTTTAATAAAAATATTTATATAGCTATTTATTTTGAAAAGGGCTCGGGTCTACCTAGTATTGTGAACTAGTAATTTATTACTCAAATGCCCTAAGCCCAAAAATATAATTATTTATTATATAAGTGTTAAACACAAATAGTCAAGCCCATGGATATATATAAATAAATAAATAAATAAATAAATAAATAGATAAATATATATATATATATATATATATATATATATATATATATATATATATATATATATATATATATATATCTGTGTGTGTGTGTGTGTGTGTGTGTGTGTGTGTGTGTTATTATTTTGTAAGCCCAAAACATATGTGGTAGATGTATATATGTTTATATATATGGTTGTAACCCAAATCCAAATATCTAATTCAACTTTAGCCTAACCCAATTCTCCAATTTGGACCCAATACACATTTATAGAAACCCTACCAAGTATGGCTATATGTATATAGATATTTTAATGTGTAGCTTTCTCTCAATCCTCCTCTTCGTGAATCAGAACCATATCTCCTCCCTCTCTTAGCTCAACCCATCTCCCTCGTTCAAGCTTCCATTGTCAAAGCAAGCCTTGCACCTCCATCCATTTCCTTCCTCCCTATTCCGTTTGGCAGCCTTAGTTTTGAAGCTTCATCAGTGGACGGAAAAAGGCAGCTAGCGTAACTCTGCTCTCGACGGCGGCGGGAGTAGAGCTCTCCTCCTACGCCGAAGCTCACTCGGGTTCCGGCGAATGATGAAGCACCGGCGTAGCAGCTCCTTGGGCGAGCAGAGTCGTCAACAGCTACCCGTTTTCACATCTCTGTTTCCTCCTAGAGGCAGCAAGGCAGTATCTTTCTCCGGTTTAAGCTTCGGTTTCGGTTCGACGGCGGCGGGGCTGCGGTGGTATCGTCTCTGGTGACCTTTTCCTTGGTTTTCTAGCAAGAGTAGAGCGGCGGTGTCTCTTCTCCGGCAAGCCGCAACTCTGGCAAGTAGACGGCAGTGATGGGTTGAAGCTTGGCTGGGCAGTGGATGGCGAAGGTGGCGGTGGCAGTTTGGTTGAGGCTACGACGAGCGGGTCCTCCTCCGGCGAACGGCAAAGCTCTGGTGTAGCTCGTTTTTGGCGACTTAGTGGCTGAGGTGGTACTCGCGGGCAGTGGATGGGGTGGTGGTGTGCCCACCGCACCGCCCGCGACATGGCACTGAAGATCGACGAAGAAGTTGATGGGGTGAGCTTGGTTCCTTTGTTGTTGTTGTTAATTAGATGATAAGTAGTTTGTTGTTCTTTAGATTTTCTAAGTGGGTGCTTAGCCTAGTTGGTGAGGTGTCTGATTAGTGTGAGGGGTGGCTTGGATTTGATTCCCCTTTAAGTTTAAGCTTTGATGTTAGTTTTAATTATTAGTTCCATCATTTTAGCTCGTCTTTTAGTACAATAACGTTGTGGTTAGTGTAAAGATAGGATGCTTAGCTTAGTTGGTTGAGCTTGTGGGTAATTAAGGAAGAATCTAGGGTTTAATTCCCTTTATGAGCATAATTAGTGTTAAATTAGTAATTTTGTTATAGTTGAAGAATCGGTTTAATCCACAGGTTCCCGGTAGCTTAGTTTTTGTGTTGAGCCTAGCCTATGTTGGCGTTGATTTTGGTTGGATAAGCGGATGAGGTAACCCATGCTCTACAAAATCTATTTTACTTACCTATATGATGATTTTTTGGATTCTACATGTGTTTTGCTATGAAATGTGAGTGTTGATGCATTGTCTTGTGAAAATGCATATCTAGAGCTTGTTATTAGGGTTCTTGTATGCCATTGCTTGGCTATTCCTTTGATTCAAGTAATTTTGTTGTGTTTGGTGAGATTTGGCATGTTTTGGACTTGAATTTGAGCTTGGAGGTTAAAATCCACGAAGGGATTATTTTGTATAGGGTAGTGTACCCGCGGGCGGAACGGCGGGCAGAGCTCCACCCGCTGCCCCACCCGTGGGGTACATGGCCGGTGGGTGTTGGTACTCGCGGGCGGAACCACGGGTGGAGGTCCACCCGTGGGCCCACCCGCGGGGTACATGGTGTGGTTTGGCGGGGATTTGTTCCCCGTGATTCTTTAGACTCGGTATTTGGTCTTTTGACTTCCCGATGTTTTTTTTGTGGAACTATTTGAGTGTCTTCTTGATGTTTCGTATGCCTAGAACTATATGGTAGGAATCCATGTAGGTTTTGGTGTCTTGAATCCTGCTAAGTGTTCAACATTATGATTCGTTGAACCGTGATGAGTCTTGTGTGTTCTTCGGAACTATGCTTGGTTTACCCGTTTGATAAGCATGCTAGTTCGGTGTTTAAATGCTAGCCTGTGTGTTGTTTGTCCTTTCCTATTGGTTGATGATGACTTGTGTTAATCATCATTGTGGTTGGACTATGATCAATTCCTTGATTGATTATGGTTTCATATCTTCGTTGTGATCCGTTGATTGATTCCTGTTGTGGTGTGGTGTGTGTGGTTGTATCTGGATTGCACGATTAATGGTATGAGACATTAGTCACCAAGGTACGGCAGTGGTCCTCGTGGTGTCCATGACGCGATTATGGAGTTTGTGACCTGAGTGATGGGTTCACGTATTTCTTGGGTAGCATGTGTTGCCGTGTGTGTGATCGGTACCCTCGTGTACTATGAAATCGGTGGTCTTGTTGGTGGTTGTTGGTGGGGAACGACGGTCCCAGGAGGGAAAAGGTTGGACTTGGATGTACAGGGGTCCTGGAGGAATGGTTGGAACTAGACATAAGGTTGGGGGTAGCCATAAGGTTAGAACCGGGCATAAGGAAGGCATATCAATTCGTGATGGGTGATGTCACGAAGCCTTGTGTAGCCGTGGTTGTGTATTTCTCTATTTTGTGACATGTGTAGTCACAAAGGCAATGTGTTGCCAATGGTTGTGTCCTTATTCTCTTGTGTTATGCATGTCGGGTGTTAATCTACTGTGTGATAGTAGATTATGCCTTGAGCCGTTCTCGTGAGTCGTTATTGCTTCTTGTTGTATTGGGATGTGTTCCTTTGTCTTTGTTGTGAGTGCAAAGAGTCTTGTGTTTGACTTCTACCCTGGATTTGAACTTATATATACTATATCCCGTTTCGCAAATGATTTTGTATATATATATCCTATCTATGTATGATACTTAACAGGTATTGGTGGGTTACCAGCATTATTCGCTGACCGGGCGTCGTCCCATTTCTTATTGTTGCTTTACAGGTTGGGTAGCTTTGGAGAGCGCGCTAGTGGCCTGTAGATAGTTGAATTGTTATACTGGAGTAGTTGTAGTATCTGCCTGTGCACCTATGTTTGATATAGGTGTGGCATAGCACCTTCCAGTTTGTTTAGTTGGGTTCCGCCTTGTTTAATCTTAATGAGTAGACTTTATCCATTTTCTAAGCTTTAATTGGTTTTTAAAAATTGTTGAAAATCGGGGGTGTTACAGTTGGTATCAGACCCTAGGTTTGAGCCTAGGATGTTAAGAGTTGGACTTTAAAGACCTAAGTTGTGCTTAGGTTAGTGTTTGTAAGTTGAGACCTTAAGATGTTTAGTAAAGCCTCTAAGTGTTTAAGTACCTAAGTGTAGGATTTTTAGGACGCGCGATGAGGTTGTGTGTTATCTTTTGCTATTTGTTTAGTTTTCTTATCTTGTTCTGTTGTTAGCTTTAGTAGTTTTGGTTGTTGCTCTCGTTTGGTGTGAACCTTCTCGGTTGGGTGCCTCGTTCTGAGTTCGTTGAAGTCTTGACGAAGACTGTGTCCAAGAGTAAGAAGACCGAAGATCTGCTAACACAAGTTAGTTAAGGCGTGGTGGTTGCAGCTAGGCACGTGGTCGTCAACTACATCAAATCTCGTTCAAGCAAGTGACATCGTCTCTCGTACGACATCGACATCCGTTTTACGCTAATCCTAGAGTTGAAGTCACCGTTTCGTGCAACCGTAGTCCGATAAGAAGCAAGAAGTCGTTTAGAGTTCGAAGATCAAGTTTAGAAGACCCTCACTCGTGAGGGGACGTCAAGAGCGGTCCCAGACGCTCTAAGAAGATGTCAACTCTCGCCAAGGGATCGTTCGTGGGTCAACGTGTTTGAAGCCTCTCAGAGTTAAAAGAGCTACAAGTCAACCTTGAACCTTTCTAAAGCGCGAAGAGTTGAAGTGTAAGATCGAAGTGTTCAACCTAGAAGTAGTTCTATCTACCCTTGAAGAAACCAAGATCGGGGAAGTTCGAAGCAACGAACTTGGAAGTAATAAAGATCAAGATGTCTATACATGAAAAGCTTGGACCTCTAAGGTACATAGAAGAGAAGGGCATCGTTGTTGACAAGTCGCCTGATCCTGTTAAACGTGAAGAGGTTAAGAAGTAGTTGGTGAATGAGGGTAGCGTTTATCCTATTCGGCACACCTGGAAAGTTATGTCTAGCATGAAGACTTTTGGTAAGAAGGTTTGGCAACAAGAAGGAAAGAAGACGTAACTGAGTTGCAAACAATCGTTAGGGCCATCAGAAGACTAAAACCAACAAGAGCGAAGTAAAGACGGATCTGATCACCGAGTGTTCCTATGTTGCAAGTGAGACTCTGCACTGATGATTCCTGTTGAGAGATCTACCTAAAACCGAGAAGGATCGAGAGGTAGCTAATCTTGTTTGGGAAGTTTGAACAGTAAAAGGAAGGACAGTCAGAGATTAACCTAAAGATCGATTCTACCGTTGGACCTCCATAAGTGGGACATGCTCGTCCGACAACAAAGTTTTCAGGGAAGGCCTATCGTTAATCAAGTCAAGAAAAGACCAAGTGGTTGTAACCGACTACAGTGTGAAGATTGCAAGGTTATCAACGGTGAACAAGACTCGGCCTACTGAGCTTCTAGTAAGGATATGAGCAAATCTTTGGACAAGGAACCATGTAACGTCTCTAGATGTTGACTTTGGTAAGACTTCAGTTTACGAAA